GAATATACCGTGCATTTAGAGAGGAGTTATATAGTGCGTGCACTTAGGGAGGGTGCACTTAGAGAGGTGTAACTGTATTTGGTTACCAATTTCATCATCAAAATTTCTGGATGGTGTTAAGCAAATCTTAGTCAAGAACCTCTTCGTGCACTTATAAAATTCAATTTCGGAATAAAAACAGAATTTTCCGAGTCCCTGATATCTGTCAGTCCCTTATCACATAGTTTTCACAATTAAACGATCAGAGATGGGAATTACTTTCGGCCAGATAATACATCAATTGATGCAAGCTCTTCCAAATGACTACTTCCGATAAAGATGATTAGTTTGAAAAAACTATGGCAATTTGTTTTTTGCGCAGTTGTATGATTTTGTTACCACCAATAAAGATAATGCCAAGAGAATACCAGTTTGGGTTGAAAACCACGTCAAGCAATATGCTCTTAGGTGGGAAGTTAAGAAAAGTTATAGTAAAACTCGAGATGATTTATATGTTCATCAGATATGTTGAGTAAGCGAGGCATAAAAAATGCTATCATGAATAACCTCATAATACTTTGTATTGTCTAAGAATTTTTATTTGCTATATTGCGTAAAGAAAGTTATATCACATTCAATAATTTATTTTTATGCGGTACGGTGTGTTGGATTTGTATGCATTGGAACAAATAATGCAGCCGAAATTTAGTTTAAAAAAAAACTAACACAAAACATGATCCTGTAATGTTCATGAAGCATTTAAAGTTTTAACTACATATATCCCCAATTTCCCAAAAAACCACTTTACGCAAATTCTTCGCTAAAAACAGCTGTTGCAGTGTGACTTTACAGCGGATGATGGGAAACGGGGTTACTAGTTTCTATGGTTATTGCTCTCACAAAAATTCAATCGAAGCAAATTAGTCATAGTTTACCCTCCTTCAGTCGTAAAGAACGAGGACTCATATGCTCTTTGGGACGTTATTATTAAAATTGAAATTATAAATGTCGGTTTGGAAAAAATGAAATTCGTTCGTAACATTAAGAACCTCAACAAGTAGATGTTTATAAATAGCCCAATTGATTTTACAGGTCGAAATTGCCCAGACATGATTATATTAGTGAGAAATATTTGTTCTTTCATGGAGAAGAAAAGTCGGCAGATTCTCTTCACGGGAATTAACTAAAGAATTCAACGAATGAATGCTCCATACCTTCTTGCATACCATGCTACTGGTAGTTTGGTCACAGATATCATTAGGGTAAATTTATTTTTGAGAATTTACAGTAGTATATAACAAGAAAGGAAAGCATATATAAAGTGCTTCGAGGATTGTACTGTTAGGAAATTTGAAAACTGTGAAATATGCAAAACATAAAGTCTTTAACTTTGTATATCTATTGCTATTCTTTTCGATTTGTGAAGATCCCAGAGGTTTTGAAATTTATTTAAGAATCAAAGTCCAGTTTCTTTATTTCTTTTATAAAACTTGGAACGAATTTATTCATTAAAATGCTTGTTGATTCATTTAATTTAGCATCGTCAGGAAATTTTTCAAGAAGTTATATATCGATATATATTATTCGTACAATATGTATCGAAATATAAAATATATCGACATATAACTATATAAGTTGTTATATACATATAACGATGGTATCATTCAAAATCTCGATCGAAATCTCGAACGAACGACATAGCACGAAATCCCAAATCTATGAAATCACGAAATCGTGATTACTTTCGGGCTTCGGGATTGCGTTCGGTATTTCATTTGGTATCAGACCCGTTTTCTGGAATAGATTCACGACATTTTTAATTATAAATTTGCACTATCGTAGTCGTACTCCTTTATAAATGCACGTATAATTGATATGAAATTTTGTTCCAAAAATCATCTAAATTATCAAATTCGATTTCATTTAAATTGATATTACAATAATAACGTTTGTTGTGTTGTTCGCACATGATTATGATTTTCTTTTAGTTTTTATGGCATGTTGTATTAATATGCGAAAGAATAGAATAGATATTTATGTTTCCCATTTAACTGAATGACTACAAAACCGACATAATAAAATTCCATTATCATAACGAAAATCTTCAGAAAACTTTTGCGCACGAGTATATGCAGTTTTGCATTTTTCATTAACGATAAGATGGGATCAACAAAACCGATTATAATAAAAAATCACGTGCTTTATCTAGGGTAATTATATTACCTAATATTTGTCAGCCAGTGATTTATTGCTTATTTATTGTTGACGGTTATGAGCTATGATAATAAACAAACGCATAAAATCAAACGCATAACGATAATAAAATAAGCGCATAATAAAATAAGCGCATAAAATTAGCGCGTAATAATTATAACAATAAAATCAGCGTGTGCAAATACGTGACAATGACGCGTTGATTTTTTGTTTATTATCGTTATTGATGACTCACGATCAACAAATGGATTTTGTATATATAGGACAGACATTCGTATTCTTTCTGTTCTCTCTAGTACCCCTAGACACGACATAAAAAAAGTTATTGTTACCTGCCTGACAAGACATTTTTTGTTTTCGTCAACATGTGACGATAATTTTTTTTACGCCGTGGCTAGGGTACTAGTTCTCCTTTCGTTTTTGCTTTTTATCGCTTTTTCATAGTTATAGTCTTCTTGCTTGTTATTTATGTTGGTGCGCGTACCCAGTCTTCGCTGTCGACTTAAAACTTTAGCGAACTTTCTAGAGATTTGAAGCCAATAGATTTGAGCCCTTGAA